TATTAGCTCGATGTTAGACCAAAAATCAAACCGGTTTTTCTCGATTGTGAGAAAATTTCAAATTTTTAAATTTCATTCGAATCCTAACTGGAATGGTTTTAACACTCAACCCAGTCACTCAACCCCGAATACAAACCCGAATACAAAGTTCACCCCCAATTTTATTGGACGGAACAAAAAAACCCAAACCCACATCCTTGAACCTGAAAAGAACAACACTTGCTTTTGTATTGAAAGTTGCTTAGGAGACAAACAAGATTTTTGATGAGGCAACTGAACCGACAAAATTTTAGCAGAATACCGGAAGTCCTCAATTCACTTTTTACTGAATTTTTTCTTTCATTTGCATATAATCTGAAAAAAAAACAAAGTTCGGCCGAGAGTCGAGCCTCAGACCTTGGGTAAAAAGGTGACGGTGTTAAACTATGCCAAGGGGGAATGAGCCTAGAGGTTGTGAAGGTCCAATAAAAAAGCAAGTTGGAGAAAAGTTAAAACCTGTAAGAAAAAATGTTTGCTGGAAAAATTTGAAATTTTAAGAAATTGAGCATGTCTGCAATTGAGCAATTTATAATTTACAATTTTTACACATTTGACTATTTTGTGCCTCAAGAATTGTACGGGAAAAAGTACCCGATTGCAATACCCATGTTTATCGCTTAGCTCAGAGTGTTTTGGTACATCTTGTAAAAGCTGAGCGCATTGTTGACCAAAAAACGAGACATTTTTAAACGCCGTCTCCAAAATCAAAATCTTTCTGCACACGTCCGTGACTGTTTTTACGAGTTTGTACACCGACAAGATTAGATGAACTAATACACTAGCATCATTTTATAACATGCTTTTTGTCAAACTTTGAAGTTGAGCGCAAAATAACAATGAACAGTCTGAAGTGGTTATATTTTTAGTTTTTGCACCAATTCAAATCAACAACTCTGTTTTCAATGATTAGTTTTTGATTAATATTTATACCGATTATAGTTCGATGGTTTCTTTGCATTTTACTTATCATGCTATTATCCATCCTGCATAAAAATTTTGACCTGCACAGTTTTTTCCATCGGAGATTTTTTTGGAGAATTCATACACGAATGGTCGAACATATTCTTGTTAATTACAGAATAAAAAAAATCCACGATGACTTGGTATTTTTTGTTGGTGGGCACAAATAAATCATCATGTATTTTTAGCAGACTAGAGCTCGATTACTGAATTTGTGGAAAGATAATGTTAAAATTCAAACTGCCCGAGCTATACTGATATAGAAAGTCAGCTTGTTTGACACTTTTTTCTTCTAGCCCCATATTGTATGGAAAAATTAAGACGGCAAACTTCAAAAATCACTACTGTTTCTTATGGGATTTTATTTGTTTGTTAGGTATTTTTTATTATACTGCCAAAATTTTAGATTTTTGTTAATTTGCTCAATTTTGATGGCTTGAAACTAATCAAAAGTCTACTTTCCGAGCATCCTTTCTAATTTGGTGCCTATAACAAAAGAGACACGACCAAAATTCGAAGTTTGATTTAAAATTGTCTGGTAATCAATTTTTCAGTTTTCCAAGATGCGCGTTGCGCGCCATTTTAATGATAATGAAAATGCTCGGCGAATTGAAAATTGTGAGCTGAAAATTCTGGATTGAACAAATAATAACTTTTTTGTTATAATTTCACATAAGTTTGGATAGTTTAAAATAGTTTCTGGATAGCTCTCGACAGCTCAGTTATTCAATGCGAGGCTCTTCCTGAAAGCTACAACCTGCTTTAAGGAGTTTAGCGCTGGGTTTTAAGAATATCTCCTGTTCTCAAAAAATTTTGGACAAAACTTCCTACACTTTTGACTTTTGAATCTGCTAGAGTTTTGCATAATGAAAAAAAAACTTCGGAGAAAGTAGCTCACATAAGATTAATTGGTAGTTTATCGAAATATTTGCGGTTGCAAAGTAATTTTCATTGCATCGGATATTATTAAAGCTGGAATATTATTGGTATAATTAATTAAATATAAACAGAGACTAAGTTTCTTCTAGTTGAAAAATTAGATTAAAGTATAAGATTCTAGAAAACAAATTGAGCTGCCCGAAGCAATCCGTCTGCCATCAACCAAACTTGTAGTTGTCAGTGCTTTGAGTACAAAATCAAAGAACTCGACGAAGCAAGAAACTATTTTAACTCCCTGAAAATTTATCAAAAAAGGTTTTTGGGCCAAGAAAACAATCCCAAAGGTCTAGATTGCATCTTGGTTCGACAATGGTATAACAAACTAATAATAAGGCTTTTCTATGGATCATTTTTGACTTTTGTATCAATATTACAAATTCTTGGGAGATAAAATAAAAAACTTATGCATTTTTTCCTTTTCTCACAGGGGGTCTTATGAAGTACAAAACTCTCCTGTAATATGTAAAGATAAATTCGGAATAATTAGTAAAAATTTTGAACAATTTTAGTTTTTTGTTAGGAAATATTTTTTTTGTTTTAGTAACTAGCAATTTTTGAATGGAGTCTTTTATACAATCTGAGGGTATTGACACCCTGAGCTCGCACTTCAATTTTTTTTCCCTGTGAACCACAATAGTCAGTATATTGTTTTTTTTTGAATTTCAATTTGGCTTATTAACGAACGATAAATTGGGTGCTAAGAAAATTGTGTCCCGAACGATTGTGTTCCAGACAAGTAGGTCGAAAAAGCAACAAAATTTAAGACATTTGAGTCCACGAAAAATTTCCTCAAATCTAATTTTCCGAGTTTAAGCTTATATTACTTGCTGAGGCATGGATAACAAGTGCTTCCTCTCATCAAGTGGCATTTCGAGGTAGATACTTTTGGGAAACAAATGTTTATGGATGTTTTGTCTGGGTAATGTTCAGACCTTCGTACAATTTTGGCGGGTAGGCAAGTGTTTGTGACACAAAAATCCTGACACGCTTTCGTGTTATAAATGTCAATAGCCGGCGCAAAAAGTCCAAACTGGTATGAATACGCTAGTTGGTCTCGAAAGTACCTAACTAGGCGCAAAGTACATCTTTTTTTTTACTTAACATAACGGGTGGGGGAATATGTTCGAAAACATCTGAAAAAAAAATCTTTTTCATTTTTGATTTTTTTATCTTTTTTTTGTCAGTTGAAGATTTTATCAACTGATGCGAGGTTTTTTGTTATATCAAGCATTTTGCTTTCATGTACTTTTCTAAGAGAAAACTTAGTTTTGATTAAATTTTCTGTGAAATGGCTTTGTTGGCTTTTTCAACCGCAATTCTTTAAGACTTTTCATTTCCAAGACACTTAAATTTGGATACTTCAAATGAAAGTCAGATGAGATTGAGTGACCTATTAAGAATTTTGATATGTTACTTGGGTGCAGTCAGTAGCGGATTTAGGGGGGAGGGCGGATGCAGACAATTTGGTCAAATTATGGTCTTTATAGTGGTTTGGGAGAGCAGCTCAGAAATCAATTTGGTCGACCTAAAAAAAATTAAGGG